TTTGACCAATTTGACCAATACAAATTCTTTGACCAGACTGATCAAATGGTCAAATTGGTCTGGTCAATTGGTCAGACCGGTCTGGTCAGCCCAACACTGTATATAATATATTGGTAAAATTATAACTACAATATCTACTACACACCTAATATAATGATAAATAGCTAAATATTTTATATTAAACAAATAATAGCTTATCTATAATTATTACTATATCATTTTATAATAAAGACAAGTATTTACAAAAGCTAGTATAATACAAATACAAACTGAAAATATAAAATAACATTAAATCAAATAATCTAATAATTTTAACTAATTACTATTGTTATAGCTTTTTCAAGCGGGCGACGAAATCGCCCGCCATACTTACAATTGCTAGTTAAATATAATTATTAGCATATGATCTAATTAATATCATCTAACATTGACCAAGCAATGCAATAGGGATGCCGGTGGCGCCCCATATTCTCTTGTATGTAATAAGGCTAATAAGTTATGTAATAAGGCTAATACGTAAGTAATAAAGTTAACAATAAGAATAATAAAAATAATAATAATAACGACGTAAAGAGTATACGCTGGAATCTTCTACAAAGTCGTGGCGCAGAAAATTTTAAAATGTCAATAGTAACAGCGGTGCTTTTTATTATTCAATTTTTTATTTTATTGTTTTTTATTTTTGTTTTGTTATTTTATTTTTATTTATTTTTAATTTTCTTTAGCTCCGGCTTTTGTTGACAAGTATAGTCATTACACCGTGCGCATCATGGACAACTAAAAAACCTATACTGTATATGTTAAAACTCTCCGATCAGGCTTAGCTCCAAAAGTCAAGTCAGTCGATCAGTAGCCGATCCAAATTTTAGTTCATGATAATTATTAAACGGTCCTTAAATAATTTAGTCTAGATAAGGTCTAAAATCTAGAGATCATACTAGATTTTAACTGATTCTATCAATACTGGGGCAGCCTTGGAAATAAACAGTATAAGTAAAAATTAAAACAAACCCGAAATTTTTCGTAAATCTAGATAAAAGACCAACTAAAAAAAAAAAGATCTATAGTACGATCTAACTTATGTATCTGCCTTATATATTAAAAGTATTATTCATTGGTTCTTAAGACTGCTCATAAATAATTATGAGTTAGACTCAATGTGTCCATGCTGAGTCGACCTAAAGAACTGGCTCTAATAAACTTCTAAAAGTGCCAATTTAATATTTGATTAGAAATGGAAAAACGGATAATAATTGGATGCATTTTTAGATTGAAGACCAGAATTGGTAATTAACCTAATCCTAGAAAACTTAAAATCAATTCGATACTTTAGTAACTAAAATAGTTGGTGTATTAAGTTGCAAGCAGGTATAAAACTCTAATTGGGCTAACTAATGTAATTTTTACACGTCTTATTTAATACCATTCTTTATTCTTTGAATCTACTTTCCGTTCAAAAATGTTTGTAAACATATTTTATCAGTTAATTGATATCGTCAAAACCAATTTCTTTACGATCGTGCTTTTGACTATTTTTACCAATGTAATCCAATATTACATTAATTATTTTAATCGACCCTCAAAAATTCCTGGTCCACTTCCTTTACCAATTATTGGAAATTTTCATCAAATTGGCGCAAATTTTACAGTATCATTAAAAAGATTGCATGAAAAATATGGAGACTTTTATGAATTTTATACGGGAAGCACACATAATATTGTTATTAGTAGACCTGATTTAGTCGAAAAAGTGTGGGGACCTGTGTCTCTTAAAAATACGAAATTCATTTTGCGTACTTCATATAGTGAAGGTTTAAATGAGCTTGGTGTAGGTACAAAAGGAATGGTATTCAATCGTAATATTGAAGGTTGGGTTCTCAATAGAAGATTTATGAATACTATTTCTGCACCTTCATTTTTACGTGAATCAATCAATTTATCAAATAAAGTTATTGATCAAGTGTTTGAATATTGGAAAATCATTAATAAAGAAGGAATGCAAATTGACGTTTGTGAGTGGTTAAATACTGTGGGTGCTGATGTCGTTTCAACAACTGCAACCGGAAAAAGTGTGGCAGCAACAACTAAATTATTTAATTCATTAAATATTGAGAATAAAAAATCTTTACAAGGAATTTGGGAAAATGGCGTAAAATTCTGTCAATCAATTCATTTGTATAATGAATCAATGGCATTTATGATGTTAATTCCAGCGAAGCTTCGAAGAAATTTACCATTTATTAGCTCTATTAATAAAAAATATTTGGATAATAGGGATTGGATATATAAGGAATTGGACAGAGTCGTTTCCGAAAAGCAAAAAGAAATCGAGAATACACCTCTTAGTCAGCATCTTAAGCCAAATATTTTAACTCTATTACTTACAACAAATACGGAAAGAGATTTGGACAAAATTTCTGTCGGAAAATTTGAAAGACCTTTAACAAAAGATGAAGTAATATCAATAATACGTGAAGTATTTACTGGTGGATTAGATACTACTTCAAGCACTTTATCAATCATTATGTTCTATCTTGCTAAACATCGAGATGTCTATTTGAAAATGCGACAAGAAGTATTAGATGTTTATGGCTCACTTAACAATCCTGTACTTACATTGGAATCATATGGAAAACTCAAATATATAGAAGCTGTTATCTATGAAAGTATCCGCATGTTTCCTACAGTATCAAATATGCCTCGTACTGCAACCGAAGATATTGAATTGGATGGATTTATAATTAAAGCTGATACAACAGTTCATACTGATTTTCTCGTATTAAATCATAATCCTAAATACTTTAAAGATCCTGAAACTTTTAATCCTGATAGATTCTTGACTGATAAAGAATCGATTCTTAAATACGTTTATATTCCTTTTGGGAATGGTGTACGCGCATGTCCTGGTCGAGCCTGGGCTATGGTTCAAATGAAAACTTTCTTGGTTAAACTTGTTTGTATATTTGATATAGATTCAAATGATAAAAATGATGCTCCTAAGTTTTCTTATCATACTGTAAATAGACCTGCAGATATATACATTAATGTTAAGACCGAAATTGTTAATATTTAACTAGTAAATACAGATTGAACAGCTTCACCGCCCAGTTGAAATTGTTATTGAAAACAAAAAGATATAATATTTAAAATTTTGAAAAGTAGTTGCATATAAGCAGACTGAAATATTTGTCAGTGTTATAATTGTAAGTAAATAAACAGAACAACTTTCATTATATCATAGTAATAAAATAGCGGCATTTTATTAGTTCTAAGTAAGTACAGTAACCTATGTACAGTATTATCATCGAAATTCAGGGATCCCTAGACTATACAGTAGGGATGTTAAACCGTTAAAAACCAGCTATATCAGTTACAAACTGGCAGTTAACTACATAAACCGATTTTAACTAGTTACATTAAACTGCTTATAAAATTCACATAAACAGTTTATTGAAACTACCGTACAGCGCTGCATATAGTACCCCCTTGGAATCATCTTCCCCAGTATCGCCAACAAATTTTTGTCGATCACGTGATGATCGATAAAATTGTTTAAGTTCGTTTATGTTAGGGTTAGCGTCTAAACTAAAGTTGAATATTAAGGGGGGTATAGTAAAATTACTCGAGGAATTTTTTTTGTTAAAGCATGAAGAGTTGTTTCTTAAGTGAATTTTTGAGATAAAGGCAATTTTTTCTAAACGGACGTTTGTTTTGATCGCGTGATGTTACACCAAATAAAGATTCTTTATTGGATAATTTTCGTAAATCATCACGTGATCGACAAAATTTATTATGAACTTTGTTGGCGATCCTGGGTAGTTGGTGTCCGGAGACTTTCCCGCAGCTTTCATTGATTTTACTGTCACATGATTTTCCGACGCATATCAGCCAATCAATGATCAGGATCAGGTGTAACGTAAAGAAATTCAAAACAAACGTTCGCTTTGCAAAAATCGCGTTTATCTCAAAATTTAGTATAGTAAACCATCCTTGGAGTCCTAATAAAAAATTTTTCTTGTGCAATTTTGCTATATTATTTTTCTTCCTAACCTTAAATCCAAATATAAAATATGCTTTTAGCTCAACAACGTTTGTTTTCCTAGTATCACGTGACAGTAAAATCGATCCTACTCCCTGTCAAAATTCAGGTTTCACCCTGTCGTATTATAATTATATATATTGCTTATATATTTTATAAGATTAAAAATCATGTGCAATTAGAAATTCAATTAGTGGATATCTATGGATTAACTCTAACATAAACACGAATGAATATATGCTGGTATTTGATGAATTTAGTTCTAAAAGAGATGAAGTTCATGGAAAATGTGCAAATTGCAAACGATATAATACATCTTACGCATAGTGCCAAACATGTGCCCCTTGGAAAACAACACAAGGACAAGTGGAAATAAGGATATCGATAATTGCATTAAGGAATTTCAGTTTAAAGCTACAAATTATGAAGATGTTATCGAATGGATTTCTTTTAATAGATTAATGAATATTCAAAATATTGACGATAAAGTTTTAGCAACCTGGTTAGATGGATTACGATATGTAAAAAATAAATATAGTGGTAAATGTACACAGTCACGTATACCAACATATAAAGTGGAGCTTAAAATATTAACTAGAACACCAAATTTAATAGATATATTAAACGAAGTAAGATAAATACAATCAAGATTTTGAGCAAGATATATATATATAGCTTTATGTTAATTTATTAAAATTAATAAGTTTATAGATTATGCATTGTCAACAAACAATGAGTTTAAGGTATATGGACTAACTCAAAGTACCACAACAAATGAATATATGTTGGTATTTGATGAATTTGGTTCTAAAAGAGAAAAAGATAATGGAACATGTGCAAATTGCAAGCGATATAACACATCACCAGCATGGTGTCAAACATGCGACCCTCAGAAGATAGTACAAGGATGGACAAGTGAAAATAAGGAAATCGACGATTGCATTAAGGAAATTCAAATTAAAGCTACAAAATATGAGGAAGTAATCGAATGGATACCCTTTAATAGACTAGTTAATATTCAATTTATTGCTGATAGATTTTTAGCTACCTGGTTAGATGGTTTACGATATCTAAATTATGAATATGATTATAGTAAATATAAATATGAATATACACAGTCACGTACACGGGCATGCACGATTACACTTAAAATATTGAATAGAACACAAAATACTCAAAATATTTTAAAAGAGGTAAGTTCTTGTTATTTTATTACATTTTAATTAATAGTGTATATTTATACTTATATTTTTATTTTATAAGTTTAAAAATCATATGCAATTAGAATGTGTCTATGGGTTAACTCAAAACACATTCACGAATGAATATATGTTAGTATTTGATGAATTTAGTTCTATAAGGGAGTATGAGAATGGAAATTGTGCAAATTGCCACCGAAGCAATACTTCTGAAGCTTGGTGTCAAACATGTGACCCACAGAAGGCAACACAAGGATGGACAAGTGGAAATAAGGATATCGATGATTGCATTCAGGAATTTCAACTTAGAGCTACAAAATACGAAGATGTAATCGAATGGATTCCTTTTAATAGATTAATAAATATTCAATTTATTGCTGATAAAGTTTTAGCAATCTGGTTAGATGGAATACGAGATAGATATGGATCACGTATACCATCATGTAAAGTGGAGCTTAAAACGTTGACTAGAACACAAAATCTAGAAAATATTTTAAAAGAAGT